CTATATCTTATTAACCAAGCGCGAGGGCCGTACTGGGAGAATATCGGCCCGAGGTCTTGACAGTACGGACCGAGCGCAGCGAGGTCCGTACAAAAAAGACCGAGGGCCGATATTCTTCCAGTACGGTCCCGAGCAAGCTTGGTTAATAAGAGATTTATTATACGACTGAAGTTCAAAGGGACACAAGTGCGGTATCATTCGGGACCATTCGGGACAGTGCCCGGTCCAATACTTAGAGAATATCGGACCGGCAATAGAGCATTTTGATTGGTTGATTTTAGTTATTGGCCCTCTGACTGCCCGAGTCGTGTAATAATGTCATTTACTAACAGACAGTAGACAGAGGTTGATTACATTCAGAGCATGACGTAGACCAGCATAATCGGCTTTTTTGTATTTGTAAACATTTCTGTGGATTTTCGTTGGTGCTTTAACCGTGGCCATGAGCTCAAAAGACAAGATATTGTGGTCAGTGAAGACTCCTTCATTTCGCGGGGATAATACATCAGTCGTTGTCACTCTTTGTGGGTTGCTTGAAATGATAAGGTCTAAGACATTAACGGCCGTGCAATTCTCGCTGGATTGGTTGTTCGACAAACCAACTTTTGTGGGATTTTTTTGGGTGAACTTAAAGGGCAACTATTTGGCTTTCGTGCTGCCAAGTTTTGATTCGATGGAAAGTATTTAAGTGTTGTTTTCGAGCGATTTTGGCGGGCATGTGTCAACAGAAGTTTCCTACTTTCCCGTATCCTGTACACGGTGACTCGTGGTGAATAGGGCGTCAAGCTAAAACACATCAGAACGGCCTCAAATCGCGAGGAGAACAACACAGACTACTCTCTATGAAGGTAAGACTTTATTTCTTTGATTATTCCACACAACTTTACATTTACGAAGCTCAAAAGGAAGTCCAACTAAACCACTATACAAACTCTTTAATAATCCACTCTGAAAGAGCCTGCGACAGAGCTTGGGCTACCTGTGGTTTCGTTTCGTTTCATTTCGTTTCTCAAAATAGCACTGATAAGCCGGTCGTTATTGGTATTTTGTGAAACAAGGCATCGAGAGAGAACAGTTTTCGAAGAGAGGGAATAATTTCTTGTCGCGTCTGTAAGCCTGTCTTTGCTTTATCTAGCAAGACAACATTCGGGAGCAGAGCGCCTAAACAAATTCTCTGCGACCCTTGTTTCGTTTCGTTTCGTTTCGCAAATTACCGTAAGCCTCATGTTCACGTGCGTCTCTGAAGGATTCACATTTTCTTTCAGGTCTTGCAGGATGATTTTCTAGTGATATCCTCCAGTTTTCAAAACTTATGTCCACTACGATGAGATCCTTCGTTTAAAATTCAATCCAAGATGAATTAGCGTTTGGCTGTTGTAACAGAAGAATAGTCATGCTTGAGGGCTCATTTAAAAAGTCGTACTAGAGAACGACAGTAAACGGTAAGCTATTCGTTCGCTTTTTCCCGTGTGCTGCAAAAAATATCAGAAGGATAAAACCACGGTAGCCTCCATTTGGCGCAAAAATACGTTCGTCACTTGTCTCTGGAAGGATCCCGCTGTCTCAAATCGCTGAAGAGTTGAACACGTACTAAGCGGGGGTGGGGAGTGGTCGGGTGCATTAGGAGTCCCAAATTGTGAAACCAATGGGGAAGGAAAAAAACTGGGCTTTTTTCAAAAATCCTGCTCTTATTTGAAGCGAGAAAACTGTCTACACTTCTCAAGGAAACAAGCAACCTAGCAAGGTAATAAAACTTAAATACATTTATGGGTAACAAATTTCGAAAAAGAAAAACATGCTTGATCATGATAACCTTCTAATTTTAGAAACCTGACTTCTAACAAAGCATTTCCTTAAACTGCGGAAAAGGGCAAGATTTCCGTAGAACCCTATACTTCATTATGCATTCAATTCTTGGATAAAGGAAAGCTGAGGCAAAACAACAGATTTCCTGCGGGACTACGGCTTTGTTCTTTTTGATTGGTATGGGGTTATACCACATGAAGCCCATACAATTTGTTTATGTAGCCCACTGTTGTTTTATGGAGTGCCAGATTTACCGTTTGCCTCACTTAGAGTAATATATTGTTGACTATGTACATAAATCATTGATATATAAATGTTGAATTACTTTACCTGTAGTGTATAGTTGTCCTTTTGCCTCAATATAACTTGGATATATCAACAAAGTTGAAGTGGTAAATTGGCCCGTAACGATTACAAAAGCTGACGTTTCGAGCGTTAGCCCTTCGTCGGAGCGAAGGCTCTCTCTCCGACGAAGGGCTAACGCTCAAAACGTCAGCTTTTGTAATCGTTACGGTGGCCAATTTACCACTTCAACTTTGTTGATATATCCAAGTTATTTCGTTACTCCCACCGACGCAGCCCCAAACAGTTTCTTTCGAAACTATCAGCCTTTATTCTTTTGCCTCAATGTTTTTTTGAGCGAAAATAAAAAACATTTTTGAGGCAAAAGGACAACTATAGACCACAGGTAAAGTAATTCAACCTTTATTCATTAATGATTTATGTACATAGTCAGCAATATATCACTATAAGTGAGGCAAACGGTAAATCTGGTACATTTACCAACAGGCAGCCCAAGGTCACTACTTGAAAAGCGGACGTGACTCTTAACGTGTTGCGCAACGTTTTATATTTATAAAGGTTTATATGGGATGTTACCCTGGTCCAACACGTTCTCTTCTCGCTCCCGGAGTACGACAATTCGGCGCGAAGCGCCGACAAACGAGCTGCAAAGCAGCGAGCAGAGAGAACACCAACATAACGCTAACTCGTCGAAAACGCTTGAAAATGGCCTGAGACGCTAGGAATCAACAGAGAAAACATCAAGGCAATAAGGTAAGTCCATTTTATTTCAAAACAAGACATTTTTTCCTCTCTTTTAAGGCAAACCGATAACATCCCATACAAACCTTTATAAATATAAAACGTTGCGCAACACGTTAAGAGTCACGTCCGCTTTTCTAGTAGTGAGCTTGGGCTACCTGTGATTCACCATACAAAACAACTGTCGGCTACACAAACAGATTGTATGGGCTCCCTCTGGTTAAACAGTAATCTTTCCCGGAAAAGTCCGCAGGTACAATCAACAGAAAGAAGAAGTGAAGGAAAAGAAGAAAGGTTGAAAGAGGGTTAATCGAGGATAAATGGCTCTGAAATTAGTTCACTCCCTCGTGTACACCCCTCTTCGCCTTGCAGATGGTCACAGCTTGTCACAGCTGGCTTACAACCGACGTGACGCAATTTATTCCAGGATTAAATTTCTATCTAAATAAGACCTTGCTTGCGAGAGCTCCACTTTTCGCAGTTTCCGTTGCTACACAGTCAAAGTAAACGTTCAGGTTGTTCCATCAGCGCAGTAATGGGGGAACGAAACACGGCCAACGAAATCTTGGCCACAATATTCACAAGTTTGTCCCTTTTTGGTACGCTTTTCATCATCGTCTCTTTCTTTCTTTGGAAGGATATTCGAACTACGTCAAGAAGAATTCTGGTTTACATTTCTATCGCAGACTTTCTCACGTGTGTTGCAACAATTGCTGCTACGACAAACATTTGGTTATCAGGAACTGAAAATAAACATGTCTGTTTTGTCCAAAGTATCATTGGAACTTTTTCTGTGCTGACTTCTTTCTTTTGGACAGTTTCAATGGCGTTGTATCTGTACATCTCTGTTTGCTGGAAGAATTCTCGACTAGCTGAGCGTTCACTGTACTTATTTCATGTTTGTGGCTGGGGAATTCCAGCAGTATTTGTCGGTGTAGCAGCGTCAACTCATAAACTGGGAGATAACGGCAACAAAGTCTCTGCAGGATGGTGTTGGATCAGCATTAAATTGAGCTGGCTTGAACAAGTCGAGTGGATGCTTTTGGCTGGAAAATTGTGGGAAATAATGGCATTTTGTGCAATAGTTGTACTTTATGCCTTAGTCAAGCGAAACATGAAGAAGGAGGTAAGATTATTACGCTTTTTCTCGCTATGAACTCAAGCTATTTAACCAGGAAACTCCCAAGATCCGATTGTAAATTCTCTCCTCTAGCTACTACACATTTCCTTATGAATTACACACAAGAATATGGTGTTAGATCAAGATAAAAACTTCTACCATTTTGGGTATTCTCATTACATTTTCGCTGGATAATGTATAGACCACTTTCATAAATGGCTGCCGTATAAATATTCTTTTGTTTAAATTTAAATTAGCCCTTCTGGCCTCGCTTGAGATAATGTATTCTTTTGAATTTTGTACTGGAGAACGAGGCCAGTAGGGCTAATTTAAATTTAAAGAAAAGAATATTAATCCGGCAGCCATCTATGAAAGTGGTCTATGGATGTTATGGCAATAGGTTACATGTTAATCACTTCTGATAGTTCTGAGGTTCCAGTTAAACCATAATATTTTTGATATTGGTGCTTGTGTTGTGTCCCCAATCTTTCTTCAGCACTGAGGCCTCATTTGGTTGATAGCATAGAAACATTAGGAAGGGAACTATGTCATACAAATACTAAGATTAGTTGTTTTTGTATGGCTTGTGGTCAGTATGTTGGAGGAGTGTGTGCTTCTCAAGTCCCATTAGAGACAAAAAACTTGGAAACATGGTCAAAAATTAGGGTGCATATTAAACATGTGGGGCAGGGGGGTGTTATCATACAGTAACTATATCTTTAAAACTGTGCAAGTTGTGTGGATCCACGGCAGGAAAACATTATTATGAAATGAATGGTAGTATGATATTTATATATTTGAATATATATTTAGCCTTCAAACTTTAAGAATACTTCAATTTAAAACAACAAATGCATTGTTTGTTTCCTTAGCTTCATGAGAAAAACAGAGTTCTAACTGAAAGTACAGTGGTGCAAGCTCAGAAGGCAGAAAGGAAACTGATTTGTGTTCCCTTATTATTTGTGTTCCTGCGTGTTTGGGGAACTATAAGATTTCTCCTGATGATTGTGTGTGCTAAGAATCCAGATTATGAGTCGCCAGTTTGGCTGCTTATTCTACAGGTTAGCAAAACTGGTTTTATTAATTAGTAAATAATTTTAAAGTACCCAAGTTAGGGGTTCTCCTCAAGGACCCGTACTTGACAAGTTTCTTTTAGGTCTTCCAAAACAATTTCTTACAATGAACACCGCCTGCAAATAGCGAGCTAATCTAGGGGGGCACTGACATTATCTTGCAAATCTAGGTAGGTACTGACATTATCTTGCAAGACTTTCCACATTAGACAGTGACATTGCTTAGATTTCCAGACATACTTTCAAAATGCAGCAATATAATTTACATACTGAATTATTGTTCAAAGAAGTTGCTAAAAAAACAAATTGTGAATATTGCAATCGTGGCATGGATATTTCATATTGGTATGAGGTGTTTACCTTACATGTAAGTGATTTGATATGCTCACTTTATTGTATTGTTTATTTTGCAGGGTATTGGAGATAATGCCCCTGGATTTGCAAACTTTCTTCTATTTTGCTTTTTTACTGAAAAATGTCTTGGGAAGTTTCGTCGCTGTTTTCAAAGTTGTACAATGTGTTTTGACTCAAGATCTCCCATTGGATTGAACTGCTCCAACTCACTGCAGGCAAGTTATAGTTGTGATGTGACAATTGGACAACCAATCATCAATCAACATTCCATGAATAAAGAAACTGATTGTTTGAAGGGGCATCATAATACTTCTGTTGATTATTCATCAATGAATTGCTGAATGAAGAAATTTGTCTTTTTTGTGACTTTGCACTTATGAAAATTATCAGCTTGCACATTCATTGGTTGACTAGTGTAAAAATTTTATTCACCTAAGTGGAGGTGAATAGTGGTGGATATTTACTGAGCAGCAAAGTGGAGACACAAGTATCCACTTCTTTCTAGGACATCAAGTTGAATGAGGGGTTATTTATATAATCCACACAAGAAGCAAAACATAAGTGTATTTCTGCCAGTAAATGGAAAAATAGTTGGAAATGAATCTCTTGAAGCACAATTTTGTCTCTTCAGCTGCTCGGGGTGAATAGTGCCTGGTGGCCTTGCTTCTCACTTTTCCTAGTGTGCCAGAAAATCAGGGCAAGGAAAAGCGGCGGTATTCACCCATGTGGTAATAAGTGCCTGTAAGTCGTAAGTTAGTAGGAAAATAATTTATTGTAAAAGTAGATTTAACTATTGCCACAAGATGTGAATGTCTTTTTTGGAGACAAATATATTGTGTATGTGATGGAGTTATCTGTCTTTGAAAAGTATATTTAGAAAATCTTAAGTAACCTAGTAAAATGAAGTTCTGTCATAATTATTAGAGGTAGATTTTAGATTTTTTAACAACCAGTTTAACTCAAGCAATACATCTGGGCCATGTCCTTATGGATAAAGACTATACAACATTTATCTTAATACTTATTTAAGAAACTTTTTTATATAGTGGTACTATTTAATGTGTATGTGGTGTGTCAATGGACAGTTAGGACCTCCATACTTGCTTATGACAGGTAACTATAGCTCATTACTACATAAAATTAATATTTTTGTGAATTCCACTTGGTGTTAATGTTTTTGATTACCATTCAGCCCATGATTAGTGACTAAAGTTGTAGGTTATGATCAATTTTGTAGTTTTTTCAACAGTTTTGTATTACTAATTGATAACTCTGAGTCTAAAGAGGCCAAAGGCATGAGAGCTGTTAAGTCTCACCATTAAACTACACCACTTCATCAAAAATTTAATTATTTCACTCCCATGACTGACCAAAAAACGATTTCTCCTTAGTTTAGTTTAGTTTAATACATTGGCCACAGTTCTACAAATACAAATAACTAATCTACATTACACAGTACCAAGAATCAAAAAGTAAGAATGGAGTGGCAGGAGACATGAACAGAACTTTCGTCCCAATTGACAACTAACCCCTATTATATAACAAAAAAGTAAAAGGATACAATAAAAAGGCTAAAAAGAGTTACAAGGAAGGCAGGTTATTTAAGATTATAAAATACTAACCTGGAGGACCGTATGAGTCAAGTTTGGAAAAGTATAGGTTCTTTAAGTTAGATTTAAATGTTGGGAGCGAGGTTATACATTTCATTGTGGGTGGAAGAGTATTCCACAGTCCTGCAGACCTATTAAAGAAAAATTTTCGAAAGTAGTCCTTACAACCATACTTTTCAGAAAAAAAAGTGAATGATAGGAAAAGTAGAAAACTGAAGGAAAAATAGCATAGAGATAAAGTTTGATTAAACAGTAGAATTCTTGGAGCAAGCTAAGGCTTGGAGCTCAATGGAGATAAGACGGAGCTGCTTGTCCTGTCTGCTCGCCATTGTCCTCAACCTCCACTGGATCCAATCAAGATCAGAGTTGACTTTATTAAAGCTAGTAAATCTGCCAAGAACATTGGTGTTTGGCTTGATAGTGTGCTTTCTATGGATGAACAAATAAATAACATCTGTAAAATTGCCTTTTTCCACTTTCATAAGATAGCTAAAATTGGAAAGTTTCTTTCACACTGTCAGTGTGAAATACTTATTCATGCCTTTATTTTGTTGAAGTTGGATTATTGTAACATTCTTCTATCTGGCCTACAGCAGTCACAAATTAATAGAATACAACATGTACAAAATTCAGCTGCGCACCTGCTTACAGCCACCAGCAGATATGATCGCGTTACACCTGTACTTAGAAGCCTACAATGGCTGTCTGTGTCCCCCCGTATTGATTTTAAGATACTTCTTCTCATTTTTAAAGTATTTTAAAAACGGTCTGAGTCCTCTCTATCTTAGTGAACTATTAAGACTGTTCATTCCTAATAGAAACCTAAGATCTAAGAAAAAACTCTTAATGGTACCTAAATGCAATCTTAAAACATATGGATATAGAGCATTCTCTCATACAGCTCCTACGCTGTGGAATGCCTTGCTGGATGGTATTTGGCAAGTGGACCTTTAAACAACATTTAAGTCTAAACTTAAAACCCATTTATTTAGGCAGTTGTAGTTTTTGCTTTCACTGATTTTTCACTAGTTTTTTAATTCACTTTAATTCTTAATTGATTATATATTTCTATCACTATCATTGTAAAGCGCCGCTGGATCTTTGAGAAGCGTTGCACTCAGTATATAAGTTATGTATTGTGTTGTAAATTAAAAAACGAGATGTATAGCAGACAGTGTGGAAAACTGACAGTTTGATCTTGGTAGGAAGAGGGCTAAACAGCTACAAACTTGATCTGATCTGTGGAGTACCTCATGAAATTAGTTGCCACTAAAAGATCCAGTGTTTTATGTAGCAAGTGGTGTACACATTACAGCTGTTATTTAATATATTTTAAGTAACTCTACAGGGAAAAAACATTTCCTCAATATAAGACAATACAAACAAAAAGTTTTCTAGAGAGTTGTATTTCTTGTAAGAATCTCTTCCAAGGAGAGGGAGGAACCATTGGCAGTAACTACAAATGCAATATTTGCCCCATTATCAACTCTCTACTTCAACACCATAATATCTTGAAGTGGTTTCCTTTTTATGTCTGGAACTGTTGCATCTCTGGCTGGATAACCAATTGGAAGCAGCAGTATGAGCTTTTCATTTACTTTTCTTTCAAGCAAATCTCGCAGCCTTGGTCCTGCATTCATGGGTGTGGAAGTCACCGTGACTAAACCTGCATTCTGCAAATTACAATGTTAATGATGATAAGTGAGGGGGTTACCTTTTTACAAGCAAAGTCAAAATAGATTGATTAAAATACCTTTCCTAGACAAAGCAAACAGATCCATTACCCTGGGTTGGGTAAGGTGGGGTGGAGGGAAGGTACTCTTAGAAGTTGTCAGAAAGGGTCTGTGGCACACCTACTGTATGCACTGAAATTGGGCTACATTTCTCACCCTCAATAAGACACCACTTAAAAGCTAACACCTAATATCTCAAACCCAACCATGCTACTGCCAGTTATGCTGCAAAATGTAGTTAATACCTAGGCAAAAGTCTCCCCTGGAGAAGTCCTTCAGAAGTTCATACCCCGAATACGTCCCTGCAAAGTCCCTCACCCTGAATAAGTCCCCTGTCTTACCTGAATGGCGGCAAGAAGAAGGCCAGTGGAGATGCACACGCTCATGTCATTATAGTAATGTGTCTTCTTGCTTCCATCCTCATTAAATCCATACACTTGTTTGAAAATAAGAATAAGATATGGTGCACTGTTCAGGTATGGCTTGGACCAAGTTGTCTTCACAAACTCAAGATCCTTTACCCACTTTTCTCCCATTCTTTTGGCATAATTTAGTTTTTCTTCTTCTTCCACAATTTCCCGGATTGCAGCCTTCAAGGATTTGTCTCTTACTACTACAAAGGTCCAAGGTTCTGTATGAGCTCCACTAGGAGAAGTTCCTGAAAAAAAATTTTAGAGACGAAATGAACTTGGGCTGAACAGATTTCACCTCACAGGGATGAGTCAGCCTTAATACAAATGGGGAAAGGGTTTTCAGTGATAGCAAATAATTATGAGGCTTGGTAAAATAATAATTTATTCAAACAACGTCAAGACTCCACTCTCTGGTAAAAAGTGTTTTTGTCCTCCTTATTTCAAGTCATCATGGTCAACAGTTTTGAAGAGAAGTTTTTTTGCATTTACATGAATATTTTATCTATGAAAATTTAAGAAACCAGGAGGCTCTGTGACCTTGACCCAGTCTTAAAGATGGAGACTTACCATGACGGGTGAAGAATGCTCAACAGTGATCATAACAATAAAAACCAACCTGTTCAGCTTTTTTAAACTACAACAACAGTTTGAATTAGAACAAATAAAGTTTTTGATCCACCACCAGGCAATAGCTTCCAGAGTGAGTGAATAGTCATTTTCAATTACTAATACATTTTTAACATATCTATAGCAAGGCATCCTTGTAAATCAGGTTATGTTTTTTTCATTCTATTTAATTTTCTGGTGAGGGCAGAAACACAATGTTTTATCAGGTAGTCTTAATGCTGGTATGCACATTCATATCCATAACTTGTAACTCCTGAAGGATTAAATGTGGTTAAATAAAGTTGACTAAGACTAAGACAAAAGAATAGGATACTTCAGTTGTTCTATCATAGGGGGACATGATCACACTTTGGAGGGGTGGGGGGACATGACTACACTTGAGGTTGGATGACTCGGCTTAGGGGGCGATGTGACATATTATTTGTCCCCCCCCCCTCCCCCTCTCCAACTCAGTAGCAGGACACACCTCCACCTGACTTAGCAGTTCGTAAAAAACACTTTGCCTCGCCTTTGAAAGGCCGCTAGAGTTTACTAGAGTTAAAATTATTTTAACAGTTGAGCTTTCATGCCTTCTGTAAGGGTCAAATTTTATTCTAATACCTGCAGTTCTAATGAGATTTTCAATGACTTCAATAGGTACGTCCTCGTCGCTCATTTTTCGGACTGTTCGTCGATGGTTCATCTTCTCGTAAAACTCAGCCGATATTTTCTTCATTTGATCTTCTTCCAAGCGATCGTCGAACCAGGGATATGGTATATGAGGGGCTTCGCCTTCACCGATCGGTCGATAGCTAAGTGGATCGGCAGGAGGTATGGCGGCCAGTTCTTTGTCTTCAAAGGGATCTACATCCACTGTGTAGCCGGGACTCTGCGGTTGGAAAATTCTGTTAACAAGCCGAGCAAGGAAGATGCCAACCAAAATCGAGGCAATGTACGGCCAGTAAGCGGCGAGGAAAGGTGCCGAGAATTCCATGATCTCCTAGCACAACTATGACTCAGCTGAACATCCTACACAAACGGAAAAACCTGATCGAATGTGCACAGGAACACCAGTAAATGGCTGAAATGGTCGGAAAGAACTAACAGAGCAACTTCTACGGTAATCGAGACAAAATCGTGGTCCCAATATCTTAAGGAATGACAGAACACACACAATAAATTATATTAATTTATTGTGTGTGAAGAGAAAGAGAGTAAGTCGCCCCTGTACTCTGGTTCAGAAGACCTCAGTTGAAGGTGTGATACTCGTGATATATGATATTATTGTCTTCGAGCTCTTTAACGCGACCATCTCGGAGAGCTTCATACCAGAGGCCTTTTGCAACAAACCGTCACGTGACTGATTTTCCCTTGGCAACGCCTTACTGGAGGGCAAGCCATTCAGTCTTTCCTTGACAACCAACAAAGCGCGGGTGGGCGAAGTGGATACAAAGGTAAAGTAAAAGGACTTTTAAGGCGTTTATTTGTCGTTATGTCACAAGAAAACAATAAGATAATATCTCTTTA